ATCTTAGTGCTTTAAGAGGTTGAGGCAGGAGGATCACTTGAGACCAGAAGTTCAAGACCAGCTTGGGCAACATAGCAAGACTTCCATCTCTGCAAAAAAATAAAAATAAAAATAAAATTAGCTGGATGTGGTGGTGCACACTTGTAGTCCTAGTTATCCAGGAGGCTGGGGCAGGGGGATTGCTTAAGTCCAGGAGTTCAAGGCTGCAGGGAGCTTTGATTGGACCACTGCACTCCAGCCTGGGTGACAGAGGGAGACTGTCTCCAAGACAAAATTTTTTAAAAGAAATAAAATTTGTTAAGACTTGTTTGTGACCTAATATGTGATATATCCTGAAGAATTTTTTGTGTATGCTAGAGAAGAATGTCTGTTTTTCGCTTTTGGGTGGAAAGTTCAGTCTATCTCTGTTAGGTCCACTTGGCGTACAGTGCTGTTCAGGTCTGCTGTTTCCTGTCTGGATGTTCTATCCATTATCTTAAATGGGACATTGAAGTCCCCTATTACGTTGCATTGCTGTCAGTTTCTCCCTTTCGCTCTGTTAATACTGCTAGTATAGTTCAGTGCTCTGGTTTTGGGTGTGCACTTACTTATAACTGTGATAGGTCCCTGTTGAATTGACCCTTTTATCAGTGGAAGAGGGAGGGTAATGGCCTTCTTTGTCTCTAGAGACAGTTTTTGACTTAAGGTCTATTTTGTCTGATATAACTTTAGCTATCCCTGCTGTCTCTGTTACCATTTCCATGCAAATGGTAACCAAAAGAACTTTTGTCTTTCTGTCTGCTCAGTATCCCACCTATCTGGAATTTACATGATGGCTAGCTGTAAACCTGTGTGACCGTGGAGGGGCGATGCATGAAGATCAGAGGTCCCCTAGATAATTTCCTTGGGGGCTACCCCCAAAATCTTTCCTTTCTTCTCCCAAGAAGCGATGCTGGCCTGCTGTTTTGCAGGCCCTGTTCATGCGTTTTCTGCTCCTCCTTCGCTCAGCAGGTATTGCTTGCCCTGCAGAGCACTGAAGAAACCAAGAGAGGCACACCACGCTCACAGGAGCTCACAGCCGGACTCCTGCCAAAGAAATCGGAGGCACAGAGCGTGTGCTCGACTGGAGGGGAGTGCGGTGGTAGAACGGTGGCTGCTCTGTGAGGCGGTGCCTGGGAAGCTGGGTGGTGCGTTCTGTGCCTGGGAAGCGGTTTGGGTGTAGGAAGAGGTGTGCTGTATTTCCCAGAGCATGGGCAGGAAGAGAACCTTTATAGAGTCCGTTAAGTCAGTGGTCCCTAGCCTTTTTGGCACCAGGGACCAGTTTCATGGAAGACAGTTTTTCCATGGACCGTGGGGTGGGACATCATTTTGGGATGAAGCTGTTCCACCTCAGATCATTGGGCATTGGTTAGATTCTCATAAGGAGTGTGCAGCATAGATCCCTCCCATGTGCAGTTCAGAGTAAGGTTCACGCTCCTATGAGAATCTGATGCTGCCGCTGACCTGACGGGAGGCAGAGCCCAGGTGGTCATGCTGACTTGCCCAGCTCACCTCCCACTGTGCGGCCCTGGTGCTAGTCCGTGGCGGGGTTAGGGGGCTTGGGGACCCCTGTTTTAAGGCATCTTTTAAGACTTTTTATTATTTTTACTCTTTAGGCCCATTTATCAGAATATTTTTATTTCTAATAGCTGAAAATTCTGTTTCTTAAGGATAGAAATTTAGGAATGTCCATCATTATATCTGAAGTAGTGAACTCATCTTCTTCTAGAGCCACGTAGTTGAAAAAGTTTTATTCCACGTCCTAGAGGCTGATCATCAGCGTGCTCTTCCATTTTTTAAATGGCAAGTGACGGTTTCTCCTCCCACATGGTGTGTGGGGCCCCTGAGCTGGTGGAAGAGGGTGGGTTTCTGAGCAGGGACAGCTGCATCCACATGTCCTAAGCACTCACTGTGGGCCACAGAGATGCTCGTGTGGATCACTTGCAAGCCGGTGTGTGTGACAAGGGAGGGGAGAAAGGTGTTGATGGTGGCAGCGGGCGGAGCGAACTTAGCGTGGGTGCTGGGGTGCCAGTGAGACCACGATGAGCCTGGCTGTCCTCAGAGGGCCGTAGCTGTCTGCCTTGTCGTTTACTCATTTGTGTGTTAGGTGCTAGGACTCGATTTCATGATGTCCACGGACCTCCTCCAGAGCTGAGGGCTCCTTGAGGTATGGAGTGCAGTTTTCTGATTTTACAGACGAGCAAACAAGGCCCCGCGAGGAGAGAGGAGGTGCTCTGGAGTAAGAAAATGCTGGTCTGCATCCTGGGTGTGTGTGTCCTTTGTTTTCTGACACAGGGACAATTACTCAGTGTTGCTGAGACTGTTTCCTCCTCTGCACTGTGGGTTATCATAGTTCTACCTCATGCAGTCGCCATGAAAGGTGCAGATGGTGTGTGCAGAGCACTTAATCCAGGGCCAGTGCACAGCAGTGGGTGCTCAATAACAATTAGTTATTTTTGCTGCTATCCAATCCTGCTGACCAGTGGCCGGCAGTCATGGCTCTTCACTCTTGTTTGGTTTTTGTTTGAGACAGTGTCTTGCTCTGTTGCCGAGGCTGGAGTGCAGTGGTGCGATCTTGGCTCCCTGTAGCCTCTGCCTCCCGGGCTCAAGCAATTCTCCCACCTCAGCCTCCCGAGTCACTGGGACTATAGGTGTGCGCCACCATGCCTGGCTATTTTTTTTTTTTTTTAAACTTTTAGTAGAGATGTGGTCTCGTGATGTTGGCCAGGCTGGTCTTGAACACCTGGCCTCAAGTGATCCGCCTGCCTTGGCCTCCCAAAGTGCTGGGATTACAGGTGTAAGCTACCGTTCCAGGCTGGCTTTTTGTTCTTTACTGGAAGTCTCTTTTCCCTGCAGACAAAGTTAGCCCAAAGGTTAAGCCAGAAGAAAGGAACGTGTCACAGGTGAGGTCACAGGGCTGGCTTGGAGCAGACGGCATCTCTCTCTGCTCGTCCCTGCAGTGACTTCCTCCTGTCATCCAGGGGCTGTCACATCCTGTTCTTCTCATGAAGACTTAATTAAGTGCCAAAAAAGAGACATACCGACGTGGGAAGTGTCTTCGCCTTGCGCTGTGTAGGGCAGAGAGGGCAGCCTGGCTCTGGTGCCTGCTCACCATGTCCAGCCAGTGAACCTCCACTCTTGGTGCCATGGCTGTCAAGTCGGGGATGAATGCCTGCCCTGCCTGCTTCCTGGGGCCACCCTCGGCATCGGATAAGGAAGTATCCTTAAGATGGGTCCTAAACTGGCCGGGCGCAGTGGCTCATGCCTGTAATCTCAGCACTGTGGGAGGCCGAGGCGGGTGGGTCACCTGAGGTCAGGAGTTGGAGACCAGCCTGGCCAACATGGTGAAGCCCTGTCTCTACTAAAAATATAAAAACTAGCCGGGTGTGGTGGTGGGCACCTGTAATCCCAGCTGCTTGGGAGGCTGAGGCAGGAGAATTGCGTGAACGCAGGAGACAGAGGTTGCAGCGAGCTGACACAGCGCCACTGCACTCCAGCCTCGGCAGCAGAGTGAGACTCCGTCTCGGAAAAAAGCGTCCTAAACTTAGACTGAAAAGCAGAGAATGAACAGAAGGAATTATTAGAGTTTGGTAGCAACTTACTGGATTTTAGGTATTTACATTTAAAACAAAATAGCTCTTAAAAACTGAAACTGTGAAAAGCCAACACCTAGTATCACATTTCTTGAAAAAAGAACTTTGAATCTAGTAGTACACATTATAAATGAAATAATTTTAGTCAGAATTTGAGTTTCAGGTAATAACTGGTAAAGGGAGTCAGGTTCTGTGAGATGGAAGCCATGAAAAAATGGAGTGAAAGTCCCTTTAGGGGATTAAGAAATGAATAATGTATGCTAGCGTTTAATTTTCCACTTGTTCTTGTTACATTCTTTTTGTATTTTTTTAAAGAAACTTGTTGATGTATAATTTAAATACCATAGTTTCACCCTTTGGAAATGTACGATTAAATTATTTTTACCAGATTTAGAATTCTGCAACCATGACAAGTTCTAGAACATTTCATCACCCCATAAGGATCCCTGGGACCTGTTTCTAGTCAACCTTTGTTGCTTTCCCCAGCCTTGGGTAGCCCTGATCTTTCTGTTTCTCTAAATTTACTTTTTCTGGAATGTTCATATTGATGGACCGACCCCGTCTTTTGCGTCTGGCTTCTTTCCCCAGCATCACTTCTAAGCATTCATCCATGTACGAGCTGTGCCGCATTTTCCCTATCCGTTCACCACAGATGGACATTTGGAATGTTTCCAGTTTTCGCCTCCTTTGTATAATGTTATGAGCATCAGTGCTTTGTGTGGACATGTGTTTTCATTTCTGTTGGGTGGATTCCTAGTAGAATTGCTGGGTCATATGGTAAATTTATGTTTAACTTCGTAAGAAACTGCCAAACTGCTTTCCACAGTGGCTAGCCCATTTTACATTCCCACTAGCAATGTATGAAGGCTCCAGTTCGCCACATCTCGGCCTTTTCCCATATTTTGTCTTAGAAATTCCGCTTCGATTTGAATTATAATCAAATAGAAAAGATGCTTTTGTGATAACACGGAAGTCTCAATTTGATGAAGTGTTGGACTGTGTACCTTTGGTTTAACAGCAGCCTAGTAACTGGGAGGAATTGATTTACGTTGCCGAACGAATGGGCCAGTTGCCAAGGGAGCATGTGGCAAATAATTAATGACAGTTTGCTATGGCCTTTCTTAGAGAACATGCTCTATCCGGCCTTCCCCTGCTTTTTCAGGGTCATCTAATGATTTAGCAAATGCAAGCAGCTTCCCTAAGAAGGCAGGTTGGTGGTAGCTGTGTGTGTCTGTGGGTGTCCAGGCCTGAAGCATCCAGACCCGTGACTCGTCATTTGAATAGATGTGTACACAGTGGCAGATACAGGCCCCTCACGTCCACGCAGGCCTTCGTGTGTGCTAACTCCCTCGCGGCTGGAACGCAGTAATTTCCTGTGCTTCTTTCCAGATCGTGCACAGAACGCTGGCGGCCATGCTGGGTTCCCTGGCGGCGCTGGCAGCGCTGGCTGTGATTGGCGACGTAAGTTGTCACAGTCCCAGTCCCTGGCTCACCACTCAGTGGAACGTCAGCTCAAAGACGTTCCAGGATTCAGGCTTTCGCTGTTTTTTTCACTATCTTATATCCCACGTCCATGTTTTTGCCCAGGAACCAGGCTAGAGGGATGAACTAACAAGCTACAGCATGAAGAGTATTTTTCATAGGTTTTGTCACACACTCACATGTGATTGTGATTCCTCACTGTGCCTGAGGAAAGGCTGCTCGTGGGCATGTCTGCCTAGGGCTGAGGAGCTGGGCTGTGGTGGGGCTGGAGCTGGGTGTTGGAACTAGAGGGGACCATCCTAGCTGGTGCAGAAAGGTGGGAGTCAGTGGGGTCAGGGTCTGTCCTGCAGAGATCAGGAGGCCCCTGGAGAGGTGTGTTTGGGGATGAGAGTGTCCTGTTTGGATCTGAGCAGGGCCTCTCTGGCAGCGACATGGGGAACAAATGTAGGGAAACAACAGAGACCAGTGGCCACTGGGGATTGAGGCCCAGAGTTGTCTGAGAGGCAGTGCTGGAACCCAGCTGAGAATGGGACAGGTGGCCATGCCAGTTCCCGTCATCTGGCCTCAGGCACGGCGCTGCGGAGAGCACATACAGACGCCACTGGGAATGCAACCAGGGCCAGTCCTGCATGTGGGAGCTGCCAGAGGCAGGGGCTAGAAAAAATGTATCACTAAATGCATAAGTTTGACATTATAGATGTCCTGGGTCAAGACTGTTTTTCAGCAACGATATAATCCAACTTCAAAGGCAAGTGAATGGTGAGATTTCCAACCCTGGTCCACCCACTGAGTGGGTCTGCAGCAGGGGGCAGCGCGTCGTTAGGCTCATCACCGGGATGGCGGGGCACGGATTAATTGGCAAATTTGTGCTTTGATTGCAGAGACCCAGCCTGACCCATGTGGTGGAGTGGATTGATTTTGAGACGCTGGCCCTGCTGTTTGGCATGGTAATCACAGCCCTCCCCGTGGGACTGCGCTCCACGCCTGCGGTAACCGGGCCTTCTCTGGCCTCCACTGCTGAGGATCCTTCATTATGTTAAAGACACAGTGCCTAGGGCTTGACTGAGAAGTGTCAGTGCCGGTTATCGGGAGAACCCGCTCCCGATGTTTAACGTGTTCTTTTCTATTTCCTAAGTGTCTCCGCTGGGTTGAGAAATAAAAGGAAAGAGCACAAGAGAGAAATTTAAAGCTGGGTGTCCGGGGGAGACATCACATGTCGGCAGGATCCGTGATGTTCCCCGAGCTGTAAAACCAGCAAGTTTTTATTAGCGATTTTCAAAAGGGGAGGGAGCGCACAAATAGGGTGTGGGTCACAGAGATCACATGCTTCACAAGGTAATAAAATATCACAAAGCAAATGGAGGCAGGGGAGATCACAGGACCACCAGATGAGGAGAAATTAAAATTGCTAATGAAGTTTCGGCATGCATTGTCATTGATAACATCTTATCAGGAAACAGGGTTTGAGAGCAGACAATCTGCCCACAATTTATTAGGCGGGAATTTTCCCATCCTCGTAAGCCTGGGAGCGCTATAGGAGACCAGGGCTTATTTCATCCCGTTGGCTTCAACCATAAAAGATGGGACGCCTTAGAAAGGGGCCATCTACAGGCCTACCTTCAGGGCGCATTCTCTTTCTCAGGAATGTTCCTGAGAACAAGAATTCAGCGATATTTCTCCTATTTACTGATGAAAGAGGGGAAATATAGCTCTGTTCCGTCCGGATCACCAGCGGCCAGTTCAAAGTTACCTCTCTTGTTCCCTGAACATCGCTGTGATCCTGTTCTTTTTTAAAGATGCCCAGATCTCATATTGTTCAAACACACATGCTCTACAATTTGTGCAGTTGATACAATCACAGGGTCCTGAGGCGCGACATTCATCCTCCTCAGCTTACAAAGAAGATGACGGGATTAAGAGATTAAATAAAGACAGGCATAGGAAAACACAGGGGTATTGATTGGGGAAGTGATAAGTGTCCATGAACTCTTCACAATTTATGTTCAGAGATTACAGTAAAGACAGGCGTAAGAAATTATAAACGTATTAATTTGGGGAACTAAAAAATGTCCATGAAATCTTCACAATTTATGTTCTTCTGCCATGGCTTCAGCCGGTCCCTCCGTTCAGGGTCCCTGACTTCCCACAACAGCGGGTCTCCGGAATCTCTCCTGAGGAGGAACGGAACGGGGCTATGGTTTGTTAGCTGGAGAATTCCAGCCCAAGGCATATCTGACGATGAAATCATATTGCCATTTAGAAAAGCTAGCAATTCTTTTGAGTTGCTGCCCTTAAAATAAAAAAATGGACTATCCCAAATAAATAAACCATGTAGGAGTTTCAGTGGGAGAGAGAGTACCTTTCATGATGTGAGTAAAGGAAGGTGTCACTCCTAAGCAGTCGTTTGGGTGTTTGCTAATTGATCATATTACCCAGTGGCCACTCTGTGCTGTGAGGAATGCCACCAGCGCCACCTGCAGGAACTCGAAATGCCCAAGCGGGCTAGTGTGGGACACGAGTCATGACCCAGCTTAAGGAGAACCAGTGGAGCCTGGCCAGGGCCTGGCAGCAGGGGCAGCCCACGTGTTCCTGAGCAGACCCCAAACAGTCCAGTGGTCTGCAGGAGGTCTTCCTCTCTGGGCTAGAAGACTTGCTCTGTGTACAGCTGGGCACTATAGATCCTCATTTTCCTTGCTAATGTTTCATCCCTCCCAAGGCTGGCCAACATAACAGAAGGCCCAGCTATGTTAGGCTTCCATGTGACCTGACTGGAAGCCGTGCCGCCATCCTCTGTGGGCAGTGCTCAGGGAGGCGGCAAGTGTTCTAGCCCCGGCTTCACAGAGTAACTTATGTTTGTATCGGGCCTGAGACGTATACAGAGTTTGGGCATCTGGATAGAAGAGAGGAAATGTGCCAGATATCCCTGAGATATGCCTGTTTTAAAAAAAGGAATGCTCTATTAGTTTGCTAGGACTATGTAACAAAGTACCACAGACCGTGTGGCTTAAATAATATAAATGTATTTCCTCACAGCTCTGGAGGCTGGAAGTCCGAGATCACGGTGTGGGCAGGGTTGGTTTCTCCGAAGCCTCTCTTCCTGGGCTTGTAGATGGCACCTTCTCCCTGTGTTTTCACTTTGTCTTCCCTGTGTGTCTGAGTCCTGACACCCTCCTCCTGTAAGGACACCAGCCACACTGAATCAGGGCTCACCCCAACGACCTCATTTTAACTTAATTACCACCTCCAACGCTGTCACTCCAAATATGTCATGTTCCCAGGTAGTGGGGGCTAGGACGTTAACATATGAATTTTGAGGGACACAGTTCAGCCTATAAAAATGGCTTTGGCGTTTTTTTCTTGTTGGAATCCAGTTCCGCGAGCACTTGCAGATTCTGGAATTCTGGAACTGCATGGTGCAGGGTCATTACAACCGGGTCCCTGCCTTTTCTCCCCCATTTCCTGGCAGCCGACCACCCACAGGGCCATTTACCCCCATCCCTGAGTTCTAGTCTCCCATGGTGGTTCTGTCAGCAAATGTGTAAACGCCACACGGGTCTGCACACGCCTGTCTGCTCGTGCATGTTCACGTGAAGCTCCATTGGTGTGCAAAGCCCCATGTTCCAATGTCAGCTCTCAGTGGCCTTTTGAGTGAGGATGAACATTGATGGTCACTCTGGACACGATGAATATTTACACTGGGTCTAAATTGACTGGGGACATTTTTGTTTTCTATAGTTTATTTAAGAGACAGTAGTGTCTACTGGGACTCCTGTTTACCAAGTATTGTAATTTGAATAATTATATTGCATTTTCACAACCTGATGAAGTAAGGAACATTCAGAGGTAAGGTGAAAAAACTGAGGGACAGAAAGGTTAATTCATATTTTTGTTCAAGTTCGGACTTTTTTTTTCTTTTTTTTTTTTGAGACAGAGTCTCGCTGTGTTGCCCAGGCTGGAGTGCAGTGGCGCGATCTCGGCTCACTGCAAGCTCCGCCTCCTGGGTTCACGCCATTCTCCTGCCTCAGCCTCCCGAGTAGCTGGGACTGCAGGTGCTCACCACCATGCCCAGCTTTTTGTATTTTTTTTTAGTAGAGACAAGGTTTCACCACCGTGTTAGCCAGGATGGTCTCGATCTCCTGACCTCGTGATCTGCCCACCTCGGCCTCCCAAAGTGCTCGGGTTGCAGGCGTGAGCCACCGCGCCCAGCCTCAAGTTCGGACTATTTTTAAGTGGCGGAATCAGGATCTGAACTTGCATCTTCTCGTTCCAAGTTCAGCACATGGTGACTGCCATCTAAGAGGTGAAGCAGAGGAGCTTCCAGAACATTCACTAGTTGCAATGTCTGGTTGATAAAATTCAGAATATCTGGGACATGACTTTTTATTAGGATCCAGGATGGCTGTTTTCACCAACTCATCATCCTCACTGGAAAGAAACAGGCGACAGGCATTCTGGGTTCACCTGGAACCCAGGGAGCGATCGTCTCAATACAAAAATCAGTTTAATTATTTTAGAAAACAAAATCGAACCCAGTTTTAGCATCGCAGAATGTTTAAGTGTTGCTTGTGTGGACACGTAGGTGCAGAAGGCCACGTGCCGGCCCCCGCCCCGCTTCTCCCTTTGTGGCTGAGAGCAAGCCTTGCACTCTGATCCCATTTCCTAGTCTATAAAACAGAGGGTGAAAATAGCACCTGTTTTTTTTTTTTGAGGATCGAATGGGATGGTAACGTGCCTTGAGGACAAATCCCCAGACATACATGTAGGCACAAAACCGCTAGCAAGAGGCTCCATTCGAGGAGCGAGTGAGTGTACTATTCCAGGAAGCGACGGTGTTTCTGAGTGTACCAGGAAGTGAGTGTGCCAGGAAGTGAGTGCACTATTCCAGGAAGCGACGGTGTTTCTGAGTGTACCAGGAAGTGAGTGTGCCAGGAAGTGAGCGCACTATTCCAGGAAGCGACGGTGTTTCTGAGTGTACCAGGAAGTGAGTGTGCCAGGAAGTGAGCGCACTATTCCAGGAAGCGACGGTGTTTCTGAGTGTACCAGGAAGTGAGTGTGCCAGGAAGTGAGTGCACTATTCCAGGAAGCGACAGTGTTTCTGAGTGTACCAGGAAGTGAGTGTGCCAGGAAGTGAGTGTGCCAGGAAGTGAGTGTACTATTCCAGGAAGCAACAGTGTTTCTGAGTGTACCAGGAAGTGAGTGTGCCAGGAAGTGAGCGCACTATTCCAGGAAGCGACGGTGTTTCTGAGTGTACCAGGAAGTGAGTGTGCCAGGAAGTGAGTGCACTATTCCAGGAAGCGACAGTGTTTCTGAGTGTACCAGGAAGTGAGTGTGCCAGGAAGTGAGTGTGCCAGGAAGTGAGTGCACTATTCCAGGAAGTGACGGTGTTTCTGAGTGTACCAGGAAGTGAGTGTGCCAGGAAGTGAGTGTGCCAGGAAGTGAGTGTACTATTCCAGGAAGCTATTCCAGGAAGCAACAGTGTTTCTGAGTGTACCAGGAAGTGAGTGTGCCAGGAAGTGAGCGCACTATTCCAGGAAGCGACGGTGTTTCTGAGTGTACACAGTGTTTCTGAGTGTACCAGGAAGTGAGTGTGCCAGGAAGTGAGCGTACTATTCCAGGAAGCGACGGTGTTTCTGAGTGTACCAGGAAATGAGTGTACCAGGAAGTGAGTGTGCCAGGAAGTGAGTGTACTATTCCAGGAAGCAACGGTGTTTCTGCATCTCAGAGTGGGGAGCCTGGAGATGTGGTGGCTTTCAGAGGCCACAGCTCAAATGTGTAACGGATCATGCTGATGTCGTTTTAATGTGGTGTCCTGCTAAAAGGTTATCCTTGTCTTCTTCTTTTCTTTTCCCCATAGATGATCTTAGTAGCCATATTTTCAGAAACAGGATTTTTCGATTACTGTGCTGTAAAGGTAGGTATGATGTTGCATTTAATAATTCCATACTGATTAATTTATATCTATGTTTTTCTGACGTTATATATTTAGGAAACAAACATTAAAAAATTCCATCCTCCTTTTAAAGGTTACTTCTGCAGGGCAGGGTATGCTGACTGTGTTAAGTTGTATGGCTCTGAGTGGCACTTTCAGCTGCTCAGTAAATAAATGAAGAAGGAGGTCAAGGAAAAGGGTATCAGGTTGAATGTTTGTGTATTATTTAAATTGTCTGGTGAGAGCTACACATCAAACATTGTTTTGCATATTAGAGTATCCCAATATTTCAAGCCATTAGCTTCTGATTACTTTGCTTTTTGGTGAAATAATTTCCATGATTACTTCCTAAATATTGAATATATACACATTTATGTTTTTAACTGGAACCCTGGGGAGCTTCACCAGCCAGCTCTAGCCTCCAGGATTTGTACCTGACCTGTCATTCAGGGTTGGCAAGAGGAGAGCTCATCGTGTACCATGCCCTGCTAATGCAGTCTAGTGCTGTGCTTGAGTATGTAAATTTTTTGAAACTGAAAAGGTCTTTTTAAAAATTACTCAACAGGCTGGGCGCAGTGGCTCACGCCTGTAATCCTAGCGCTTTGGGAGGCTGAGGTGGGTGGATCACGAGGTCAAGAGATTGAGACCATCCTGGTGAACATGATGAAACCTTGTCTCTACTAAAAATAAAAAAAATTAGCTGGGCGTGGTGGTGTGCACCTGTGGTCCCAGCTACTCAGGAAGCTGAGGCGAGAGAATTGCTTGAACCCCAGGCGTGGAGGCTGCAGTGAGCCAAGATCATACCACTGAACTCCAGCCTGGGTGGCAGAGTGAGACTCTGTCTCAAAAAAAAAAAAATTACTCAACAAAGCCCTTTGCAAACTCTGAATGATAAAACCGTGCTGTGATTTTGTCATCTTTGTGCCCCATCTTATACATGCCAGGTAGATATTTGGTCTATTACTCCTTACTATTAAAAGTATCCCTTAGTTCCCTAGAGATCAGCAGACACTAGGCTCACGTGGATCCCAAATGTCAAAGCCCAGGTTGTCTAACCAGAATACCGACGGCATTACGGGGACTGAGGGTCATCACCTTGTGACAAATTAACCATGACAGGGGCTGTGTGAAGGAGGAGGATCAGAGGGGTGACAGTGCTGGCTCGGGAGGGTGTAGAATGTCTAGGAACTTCGGTGGCCAGCACTGTCTCCTCTCGGCCCCCCTGGGACTCCGTGGGTCTACGTCTTAACCCACGGGGCAGTGTTCGTTTGGCTCCCTGTTTTTAAAGTCACTAATGAAAGGCTGCCTCTGTTCTGTGAGCCTGCTGACTCTGGCTTGTACTCTGTGTGTGTGCGGCCAGGCATACCGGCTCTCCCGGGGACGGGTGTGGGCCATGATCATCATGCTGTGTCTCATTGCGGCCGTCCTCTCTGCCTTCTTGGACAACGTCACCACCATGCTCCTCTTCACGCCTGTGACCATAAGGTATGCAAAGCGCCTCTGCCGTGGGGGTTGTGGCCAGGCTCTGGCTGCACGGCCTGGCTCCAGGCTCCATTCTTAGGTGCATGAAAAGGTGGGCGGTTGAGCCCACAGCTCGGTGCATTCCAGTCCAGCTTGTGTCTGCTTTGTGTGACTGCAGCACATGCTACAAGCAGTGGGGCCTCAGAAGCTGGTGGCAAAAATGTCTGCGGGAGGTGGAAGACATAGGCTGTGCTTTCCTGGAGATTGTAGTCTCATGGGGAGACATGTGGACAAGAATGGCTCAGCCCTGGTGAAACCCCGTCTCTACTAAGAATACAGAAATTAGCTGAGTGTGGCGGCATGCGCCTGTAATCCCAGCTACTCAGGAGGCTGAGGCAGGATATCCCTTGAACCCGGGAGGCATAGGTTGCAGTGAGCCAAGATTGTGCCACTGCACTCCAACCTGGGCAACAGAGCGAGACTCCGTCTCACAAAACAAAACAAAACCAAACAAAAAAAACAGCTCACCCCAGACCACCAGGTGCCCAGGTACCAGGAGTCCTTGTCCCTGTTCTTCTCCATCACCATCTGCCACCTGGGCTGGGTTGGCAGGTCACACACATGCTGAGGGCTCACAGGGTCATGTAGCTGGGGGGAGGTGGAACAGCCACTGCAAGGTTCCTCATTAGAGGCTTGGAGGGTCGCAGGACCAATGGGGCTCAGCAGAACCAAAGTTCAGTCTGGCAAAGCTTTATAGGGCAACTCTGGGAAAGAGAAGAGAAGTTCAGTTCATCCACTCCACTCCACCCCACCCCACCCCACCCCACCCCACCCCACTCCACCCCACTCCATTTCTTTTAATTCCATCCACTTTAATCATCCATTATTTATTGGGGGCCATAGGCCTGTTTGCCCAGAATCTTCTGAAGCGTGACTGTGGTCCCGGTCCTCGTGTGGGCCCCTTCTGAAGGCATGGACCTGTGTGTTTCCATATGTATGCTCTCTATTTTAAACATGACTCCCCAGCATGTCAGCCTTGGGGCTGGCCCTGAGGACACAGGGCGAGAAGGTGAGAGAGGGGCCCCTCAGGGAGTCACCCTCCGGTCCTGCTTGTAATAGGGTGTCTCGAACAAGTCACTTCAGGTGCACTGATCTGGGTCGTAACGGCAAAGAGATTAACCTCAGCTGGCATTCTGAGGGCTCTGTGAGACACAGGGCCTGCCTGGACACAAGGCATGGGACACACAGCAGGTTCCAAGGCCCCGTGGGGCTGCTTCCAGGGCTCTGGGTTAATCTGGGGGATGCCTTTTGTGTTTGAACAGTGGTGGCTCTTAGAGGAGGAGTGGGGTGGGCAGGAGCACGGAGTGGCCAGCGCCGCTGGGGAGGTAGATGCAGCATCCCCAGGCCGTCTGCTGCCTCCGTGTGGAGACTCAGGTTTGTACCCAGGCTCCTGCAAGCTGGGCTACACTGTCACGCGCTGTGTGGCATGGGAGGGACCCGGGCTCTCAGCCTCCTCGCAGGGTGTGGTACCGCCCCTCTCAGTGCCTGGGGTGGAGAGTCAGTGAGGGAGGCGTGAACATGTTTGAAGGCTGCTGAGGCTGCTGTACACTGTCACAGGCGCTAGTGACGGCACCAAACTGAAGGCTGCTGTACACTGTCACAGGCGCTAGTGACGGCACCAAACTGTGCCTTCGGGACGTGTTGGGGGACAAGAGTCAGGCCCATCTGCCCCCTCTAACCAGCATGACTCTGCTGCTGCCCTGGCTTGAAGACCTCCGCATATCCTCACGCTCCCCCATGGCAGCCTGGTGAGAGCAGGGTTCCAGGGCTGGGGTGCACTGGGCACTTTGTTCCCAGCATCCCCGTCTAGCCCGGGCAGCTGAGAGGTATCTCAGCCTTGCCACAATTTGTTCATATCCTCACTACTTGGAACTGCTTTCGTCATGTTGTTAGAGCAGTAATTCCATTTATTAGTCAAAAATTTGCATCTTTCAAGATTCTGGTGCTGGTGTTCTAAGATTCCCTATTTATCTGACCATATTCTTTATGGCTTTGTAAGTGCTGGTCACATTCTTCCCCTTTGTCTGGACTAAGTGGCTTTGGTCCTTCTAGTTAACAGCTAGTCCCGTTGAGATGGGTGCACTGCCCTGCCTGGTCTGGCACTGTTGACTGCTGCACACACATATTTTCTTGCTAGAAGCAGATCCTGGGAGCTTCCTTAGCACTGTGCCGCTGCTGCCTCGGGTCAGAGTCTCATCTGTGGAGCCACTCCTGCTTCAGTCCCCGGGCACGCTCCTTCCTCAGCTCCCACATGGCTCCATGGGCCTGTGCGCCTCATGCCAGCAGAGGGGAGGCTGTGGCCGGCCTCACTCTGAGCTGATGGCCGGGAGGTGGTGGGTGGCCTCTGAGTGAGACCCGAGGCCGGGTCCTATGTGGGAGTGGGCTGTGCGGATCAGCAGGTGTGGGGGACGCTGTGATGTGCCTTCTGCACTTTCTTTAGGGCAGTGTTTCCCAGCTGTGTACATGCTGGGCCCCTGGGGAGCTATAGAACGCCACTGCCCGGGCCCACTCCCAGGCACTGGTCTGTGCCGGCCAAGCCGTAGGACTCCCAGATTCCAGCACAAATCTCGTGAGGCCACGGTGGAGCTCCACAGCTGTAGAGTGTGGCCTGACAGGTCTGTGGGGTGAATACAGTTGACATGAATCGATTGTACTCCAACACAGCTAGAAAAGAATAACTGGAATGCTCCCAGGGTAAAGAACAGATTGATATTTAAGAGGATGGGTATCCCGTTACCTGGTTTGATTATGTGAATCATTACATTATCATACGTACCCTGAAAATGTACGTGTATATGTGTATATCTAGTATGTATTATAGCAATAAAAAGTAAATAAATAGAAAATGCATAGATGAATGAAACAAAGGGAGGGGACAAGAAGAGAACCTAGGGCCTTGGTGTCCAGGAAGCGGGAGGTGGGAAAGGGGCTGAGTCAGCAGGCCCTGTGTGACCATCCGCTCCGCCTCCACACCGACCCCCACAGCAGCAGCTGGGAGCGCTGGGGAAAGGGCACCTGATCACACTGAGGGTTTGGTGGCTGGAGGCTCACTCTGGGAAGGAATGTAGCTCTTGGAGTGAGCTGTGGCCTGTAGGGGTTGTTGCATTGTTCATTCCCCCCAGCACTGCCCTCCCCACAGGTGTGTGTGTGTGTGTGTTTGTGTGTGTGCGCGCACCTCCCTTGTACGAACAAGTGCCTTAAAAATCTCTGGGTTGCACGTGAGCCTTTCACAATGTGCACAGTGGGACTACTTTCATTTTCCTCCATTTGTGACAGGTTATGTGAGGTGCTCAACCTCGATCCAAGACAAGTCCTGATTGCAGAAGTGATCTTCACAAACATTGGAGGAGCTGCCACTGCCATCGGGGACCCTCCAAATGTCATTATTGTTTCCAACCAAGAGCTGAGGAAGATGGTACGTACCAGCATGCTAGGGTTGCTTCCAACAAACGCATGCTTCCACTTACTTAGCGCCCTACCCCACGTGGACGCCTTTGTTAGAAATGAACATCATCACGCCACCTCTTCATAGTGAGTGCTACTGGGCATCTCAAGAGTGGGATGTTCGGTGACTGGTCCTTCAATCCTAGAGTTAACTGGCTTGAATTGACTTCATACTCATTCTGATCAGTTTTTAAAGAAATGACTGGATAGCATGATATAGTTAGTCATGGTATATTAATTTTATTAATAGGAACTGAGGTTTCTTCCAACTTACATTAAAAACAAAATGACCTGTCCCCTCTCACTGGAGATACGGCATTCCCTTCTTAACTGTGGTGGATTAATTTACTGATAAAGGACTTAAAAAATTTATTTTTTAAGGGTCAGAAATGAATGTCTTTAGAAATAAATTCTTTGAAAGCCCCCTATAAATATTAGGGTATAATTTCTTTATATACTGTAATAAAGACAAAGTGTTAGAAACTGCAGGGTATTTTATATATCTTCAAGGTGAAAATTGAACTATATCATTAATTTTTATTCTCTACTCTTTGCTTTGATCATTAGAATTTTCTTAGTCTCCCTTCTCTAAGGTATCAGTGAAAATGCTTCTACATTGTGTTATTTCTTGTAGATGACGCGTGTGTGTGTTTGTGTGTGCGCGCCCGAAGGGTGTCAGTGTGTTTGTATTTGAACACTGTGTTCCATAAAAATATTTAAACCTTTGAGAACCTGTGGCTCCAGCGTGTTAGTGGCTGCCTCATGGAAGCAGCACGCTCTGGAGGTTCTGGGTACGGCTCCGCATCCCCTCGCTGCCCCGGGAAACTGCTTGGCAACACTTTACCAGCTTTGCCCTGTGAGCTGAGGGGTGCAGCCATGATCATGCCACCCTGGAAGGTGGTAACAGAGCCTGCGGTTTATCCTAGGGGCACCTGCTAGCCAGGGTGGAGCTCATGCTGATGGAATAGAAGTGTTTTTAGAAAAAAATAGTGTTATTAGTTTCATTCCATAAAAAAGTAATACATTTTTTGTAGAAAACAAAAGTCTCACAGACATGCACACACAATAAAAATTCATAATTCCACAAACCAGAGGTAAACCCTTTTAATATTTTGGTGCAAATAGCATCCTAGAGCGTTGGTTTGTGGCTACAGATGAATACAAAAGACAGTGCAGCTTCTGCCAACATGGAGTAACAGGGCCGGGATTTACTCTCTTGCTTGGGAAAGTCAAACAGAACAAACAAAAATAAACCAAAACCAGACAAAACACAGGGAACAATGGTCACGAAGTCACTGGACACCAGGCACAAAGCGACAGTGATCCCCGTGAGACGGGAGACAGATGCGGTGGGCTCTGTGACTGCTCCAGCTCCCCACCTCCGGAGAGCCTCCAGAGCGCGGTGCAGCGAGGGACGACCCCGGCAGAGCCCATGAGACACCCTGAGTTGAGAGGATGAAGCTGAAAGTCTGGGGAGACCAGGGCAGCGAGAGTCCAGAGAGGACACAGCTGAACCGCAGAGATCCTCAGAGAGTCCCGTTGGAGTATTCAGCAGAGTGTTCAGATCAGTGCATTCGTGCGAGGAGACGACATGAGACCCGGGGAGAACAACCCAGAAAGATGAGAGGGGCGAGTGCTTGACGCACACGACGGGAATAGTGATGATGTCTATTCTGCCAGGCAGACTGAAACCTCTTAATTTTTGTATTTTTATTTAATTTTTTTTTTTTGAGACAGAGTCTCCCTCTGTCGCCAGGCTGGAGTGCAGTGGCGCAATCTCCGCTCGCTGCAAGCTCCACCTCCCAGTGGAACCTCTTAATTTATGGAGCACTGGGTAGAGCACTCACCAGAGTCTTGCCTCAGTACTACAAAGTGAACACTGCTCTGCTTCCACCTAAGAAATCTTGAAACTAAGACCCCAGAGGACCAAACTGTTTCTAAATATTTCAACTGCATCCCAGAACAAACCTCAAGAATATTTAGAGTGATACAAAAATATTCGACAACACACAGGGTAAAACTTGCAATGTCTGGCAACCAATCAATGATTATCAGGCATATAAAGAAGCAAGAAAATATAACCTATGACAGGCATGGTATAAACCATTTGAAAGGTAGAACAGACAATGGTGTTAGAATCAGCAGACTAGGACATTAAAACTGTTACTACAACGGTGTTACAGATATTCATCAAGTAGCAACATTAAAGATACTAAAAAAGCCCCACATTAAACATCTAGACATGAACATTACAATGTCTGAGATAGAAATACACTTGTTGGGATTAGTGGCATGTTAGATATTACATAAGGAAAGATGAATCAACTTGAAGACATAGATTCAAAATGAAACAGAGTAAAAAGATAATAACAAGGGGCCGGGCGCGGTGGCTCAAGCCTGTAATCCCAGCACTTTGGGAGGCCGAGATGGGTGGATCACGAGGTCAGGAGATCGAGACCATGCTGGCTAACACGGTGAAACCCCGTCTCTACTAAAAAATACAAAAAATTAGCCGGGCGAGGTGGCGGGCGCCTGTGGTCCCAGCTACTCGGGAGGCTGAGGCGGGAGAATGGCGTGAACCCAGGAGGCGGAGCTTGCAGTGAGCTGAGATCCGGCCACTGCACTCCAGCCTGGGTGACAGAGCCAGACTCCGTCTCAAAAAAAAAAAAAAAAAAGATAATAACAAGGGCTGAAAAGCATTAGTGAGCTATGGGAAAACTTCACGTGGCCTAACATACATGCAATTCTCATCTCTGGAGGAGAGAGGGGAATGGAAAAAGACAGCTGAAAAATGGTCCTAAATTCCAAATTTTATGAATGGTATAAACCGACAGAATCAAGAAGTTCAATGAAGCCAGAGCACAGGAAACATGAAGAATCCTACAGTAAGGCACATCATAATAAAATTATTTGAAAACAATGATGAAGAGAAAATCTTAAGTTTCCAAAGAAAAAGACATGTTACAGGCAAGGAAACAAAGATAAAGATGACAATATATTTCTCTTTAGAGATAGTGCACGTGTGAAGGCAACGGAGCAATACCTTTAAATACGGAAGGAAAACACCTGTGATCTCAGAATACTACACCCAGTGAAAATCTCTTTTTCTTATGTACAAAAAAGAGACTTTTTCTCATATAGAAAAGCTAAAAGGAATTCATCAGCAGCAGACCCACATGTAAGACATACTAAAGGAAGTCTGTAAGGCAGAAGGAAAGTGACACCACGTGGAAACATGGATCTTCACAAAGTCAGAAGAATACTGAAAAGGGTAACTACATGGGTAAATTCACATAAGTTAAAAAATTACTCAAACCACTTTGAGATAATTGTTTAAACAAAATAATAATGTAACATGTAAGTAGAATTGATGACAACAATAAAATAAAGCCTGGAAGGGGAGAAATTAAAGTATATTAATGTGTCAGGTGCGGTGGCTCACGCCTGTAATCCCAGCACTTTGGGAGGCTGAGGCGGGTGGATCATGAGGTCTGGAGATCAAGACCATCCTGGCTAACACGGTGAAACCCCGTCTCTACTAGAAATACAAAAAAAAACTAGCTGGGCGTGGTGGCACGTGCCTGTAGTCCCACCTACTTGGGAGGCTGAGGCAGGAGAATTGCTTGAACCCAGGAGGCGGAGGTTGCAGTGAGCCGAGATTGCGCCACCGTACTCCAGCCTGGGCGAAAGAGTGAGACTCCGTCTTAAAAAAGAAAAAAAAGTATATTAATGTAAGATATTTTATAGTATATGTAAACTAGTATAATATAATTTGAAGGTAGTCCGTGAAAGTTAAAAATGTGTATGATAAACTCTAAAGCAACCACTAAAAGGAAAAACAAAGAGTAACAGCTAATGCCAACAAAGAATATAAGTGGAATCATAAATAGTATTTATTTAATGGAATGAAATGTAGAAAAAAGGCAAAAGGAAGCAAAGAAATGATGGAACAAATATAAAACAAATTGCGAGAGTTAAACCTAACTATATTTAATTATTACATAACATATAAATAGTTTAAATATCCCAATTAAACAGCAGGGATTATCAGATCAAACAAACAAGCCCCATCCAACTATAGATGCTCCTCAACTGACTTTGGGATTACATCCAGATAAACTTATTGTAAGTTAAAAATATCATAAGCCAAAATATGTTTAATATACCTGAGCCCCTGAACATCATGGCTTCGCCTAAGCCCACCTTAAATGTGCTCAGAACCCTTACATTAGCATACCGTTGGGCAAAATCTCATACAAAGTCTACTTTATAATAAAGTGCTGGATAGCTCATGTAACTTACTGAATATTGTACATTACATCAAAGTTGAGATGGTTTTGCACCATTGTGAAATTGAAAAATTGTAAATTGAACCAAATTAAGTCAGGGAACATCTGCATTATGCTGCTTACAAGACACACATTTAAAATATAAAGACAGAAGGCCAGGCGCGATGGCTGACGCCTGTAATCCCACCACTTTGGGAGGCCGAGGCTGGTGGATCACCTGAGATCAAGAGTTCAAGATCAGCCTGGCTAACATGGTGAAACCCAGTCTCTACTAAAAATACAAAATATTAGCTGGGCATGGTGGCGGGCACCTGGAATCCCAGCTCCTCGGGAGGCTGAGGCAGGAGAATCGCTTGAACCCGGGAGATGGAGGTTGCAGTGAGACAAGATCACCCCATTCCTGGGTGATGAGTGAAACTCCATCTCAGAAAAAAATGTCTGTCTGTCTATCTATCTATCTATCTATCTATCTATCGACACAAATAAGTTAAAAGTAAAGGAATGGCAAAAGACTCCTCAGAACAAAGTGGCTATATTAATATCTGACAAAGTAGACTGCAGAGCGAAGAATATTTCTAGGATTAAAGAACGTTTCATCATAATAAAGGGGTAAATTCATATAGTGAACATAAAAATTCCATTTATACAACCAATGACAGACCTTCAAAATATGTGAAATGTG